CTATTATGAAAAACTGAAAAACTGATTCACTTACTCATACTTAACGATGACTAAGCGAATTAAGCGTATGATTGCATACCAGGAAAGCTATTCACCACATCATACACGCACTAGAGAAACTCATCTCAGGTCCATAATAGTCAATGAAAGAATAGTAAAACTCCCAACGACTGCAACTGCAACTGCAACAGCGGCTGCTTGCCAGGAACTATTCGAACTAAGCGACGCTTTAATTTTTATTAATTTTATGGTTTTGCATATTTCTGATGCCGTCCGTCTTGACTTTGGTCTTGGCTTTGAGGCCAAGCAGATTTCCCGACTACTTTGGGTCTACAGTGGCAGAAGTAATTTAAATAAATTTTGCATTTTAATGCCGTTGACAAAGTTATTGCTAATGGCGCACATTACTTTTGTGACGGGACAGCACATATGGTTCTCAGCTAAGAGCGGTAAACAACCGATTTAGTTAGCGGCAAATTTGAATTTAGTTAACGAATGAGGTTTGTGTTAATTATCGAATGGTTTTTGATTATAAAATATGTTGAAATCTATTTTGAAGTTTGTTTTAAATATTGTGAAATGAAATTTAAATTCATAGCTTTCTTAATATATGGAATGATAGTTAGTGTAATAATTTAATAAAAATTTTAAATTATGACATCATTATATTTTTATTAACAATATTTACTTGAAATGGATATTTATGTGGTTGTAAATGAAATATATAAAAATGAGTCTTTTAAACAGGATTTTTCTTGAGAATGTCCCGTAAATACCGAGTATGATGTTTTGGTGCAAGAAGACAAAAAAAAAATAATGTAGGATCTATATTGTTAATTTAGATTTATTAAAAATAGTTTAGTTCATTAGTTATTTTTCTAATAAGTTTGAAAGTAATGACTGTTCAAAGTTATTGCCTTTTCAGAAATGTTCCATAACTTTTATGAAGAACCTAAAAGGGTTTTGAAGATAAAATGTAAAACCCTTTTAGCTATGTTAGGTAAATATGGAAATTAAAATTAAAATTTTCATTATTATTTAAATTTATTATCGTTATTTATTTATTATTTATAAAAATTTGATATCGTTTACATAAAATTTTTATTATAATGGTTCAGCTAAGGTGGGCTAAGGGTCGAGTTAGCCTCATGGAGCTGGAATTAGGTCTGGGTAAAGACATGACAGCAATCTGAAATAAAATATATTTCACAAAAAAATTATGAAGACTGCCTACGTTAGTGTTATTTTTATAGTCTGTGTTTTGTAAACAGTGACGAATCTTTGCACACTACCTTGGAAACCTTGGTAACTTTTGGTAACTATAGGATTTCGTATATTTAACAATTGTATCTTTAAGTACTTTTAATTACAATTATGTATATAAATAATACTAAGATAGCAGTTTCAACAAGCTTTGTAGAATTAAATCATAAATTATATAGAATTAAAGTATTAATTGATAAAAAATACTCGTAGTTGCAGCTTCCTGATGCTTATTTTTAAAGCAGTAGGATGCAATGTTGACTTCTGATCAGAAAGGTCTTCTTAGATTGTCACATTTAGAAAAAACTATGTAATATATTAAGTTCTTAGAGAATTGTTTTTAAGATATACCTTTTTGAAATACTAATCAATACGGCATAGTTTGGTTGATAAGTATGACAGATGGAAATAATTAAGAAGCCCTTATGGAGTTCTTATGCTAATATTATAAAACATTTGCAAAAGTTGAGAGTGAATAAATTAAGTTGTTTTCTTGGTTAGTCAACTAAATTAAACAGGAAAAAAATCTAAACGAAGTTGTGCATAACCGAGGCATAAAGTTTGCAATTATAATTGAAGATAATATTTTGTTATTAATAACAATATTTACAACATAATTAATTAATAAATACAGTAATGATAATGTGAATCTAATCGTCTCCGTAACATAATATGATGTATAGCTTATTTATTTTCTACATCACTTACTATTCATAAAATCAGAAAATATTTGCTTTAACATAAATTTCAACGCTCCAACTTAGCTTTAATCTTATGCACATAGCAGTTGTCCGTCTAAGCGTTCCTCCTCGTCATAAACATCAAATTTGCATAATTAATAAAATCTTTTAGGTTACATCCACCTGTATATGTAATTCTGATAAACATTGATGGTTATTATCTCTCTTAAATGTAATCACATGCAGCAACAACAACTATCAATCACTGCGAAAATTCTTCTACCTCGGAATCTTACAGCTCGTTGCTCCTTGCTCGTTGCACCAAGAATCTGTCTGGACGATGGCCAATTTCTTTAGAATTCTTCTATGTTTTTTCACTTCTTCGCACACAAACTGGATTTTTTGCATATTTTTATCTGCAGTATTTTTTTCAGTTGTCTGCTGTCGCCGTGATTCTTATGCAGTCTTCGATTATTCATTAGTTTTAGTTGCATACAGCCTGCAGCCTTCCTAGTCATGTTGCAGTTACCCGTACGTTAGCCATATTGGCACTCTGAGCACGCAACGTCCTTTATTTTTAGTTGTTTTGACTGCTGACAGTATCGGCGTTAGTGAAGCTCAGTCAGAGCGTTCAGTTTTATTAATGAATGTCATGTACGCCGTCACATAGGAGATTTTTGAATTATTAGCCATCGTTTGTTGCACCAAACGGTGCACATAGCACGTTGCAAGTGAACACTCTATACACACTTCTGCACTTTTCAACTGGCAAGTCGATTTTAAATATACAGGCAGCAGCAGATTTACTATGAACTCTTGCCGCTTTTAAGATAGTTTTTTCTGTTCTGTCCTCATCGTAGACATGATCGTAACAGAAAATTTGTTGCATGCACTTATATGTAATAAAATTATGAAGTGTGTTTTAATTACTTGCCAAAAAAACTTAAATGGAGGATAATTTAATTATAATAACAAATTCCTTTTATTAATTGACTTTATTTTTCAAAGTGGAAATCTAATATTTTGAGGTAAAGACTTTATGACCGCTTATGGGAAAGTAATTATCTAAAATAAATGTATGTATTCTTGGGATAACATCTTTGTTTAATGGGGCGATCGGCTTTCATCGCAATCTTACGGGTTGTGATGTTTGTGCCTGTCAATTTCCTTACATTTCTCTTCTCTCGTTAACGGGAGTGTGGTTGATTCCTATGCTAGATGCTCGTATCGTGTGTCCGCTTATGGAAATACTTGCTTCTCCTATGGTGATAGTGATTCTGATTGCTTGGCAAAAGTTCACGCCTAAAATTATGACATCCGTACTTCCGGTTAACACCAGGAGGTGTATTTATATGGTATCAGCACCTAGTCGTAAAGTTACCTCTATACCCCAAGTGCGATCACACGTTGTATTGTCTGTCATTCGAACTTTAGTAGCAGTCATGTATTTTTTGGGTCTTAGTCTTAATTTTTCTAATTGTGTTTGGCTTAATAGGCTTAGTACCTAGAAGTCTAAACCAGAGCTATTTGTAACTATGACTAGAATACTACTCTGAAGAGATCTATAGATCTACTTCGCTAATATCAAAAGTTGAACAAGACATATTTTTTTATTCTGAATTCCTATGTTTATTGTCACAAGAAGAAAGCAACTTGCGTTAATGTGGATGGGATATGAAAAATACATCATGAAGTGATCGACCTTTGTAATTGAACTCAGTCATGAACTCTACCCTAAAAAAATGTTTTAGTCTATTTATGAAATTTGGAATGGATTCATATTGGTCAGTATATGTACAAAAATTTTATAGGCTTTACCTCAAAAATATTAGTTGTATTTTTTTCCAATAATAATGTTTAAAAAAATTTGACACTTTTGCTAAAATCTCTTAAATAACTAGAGGGCAGTTATAGTTTGGTTCCTAGTAATATTATTCATCTAAAGTTTAAAAACTACATGCATTACCACGTTAATTAAAACACATATATATCCATCTAAGGTGGTAGTTTGAAAGGCAAATATAATATATATAATTAAACAAGAAGTGACTAAAATATTGGTTAATTACTGGTAACAAACTTTTAAGAATTTCTATCAGATAGCTGGCTGACATTAATATAGCATAAATAATATATATCCATCAAAGGTGTATTTTTGAAAGGCAAATATAATATATAATTAAATAGGGAGTGACTAAAATATTGGTTAATTACTGGGAATAAAATTTTTTAGAACCTCTCTGTGGTAGCTGGTTGACATTAATATAGTATTTAGTTACAGAAAATAACTTCCAACAAATTTACAGTAAAAAAGTAAAAAAGTAAAAAAGAATAAAATTTATATTCACGCAAAATGCTCATTCATTGCATAAACGTCAGCATTGTGCCATAAAATTAAACGCAATTCATGTGGAAAATGCAGCAAATCAATTTGCATTAATTTAAAATGCAGTCACCAAATCAACTACTGCCGACTGCTGTTTGTGGCAGCGTCGCATAGTGTCACTGCTACTGATGCTGTTAATGTTGTTGTTGTTGTTCTTGCTGTTGTTGCTGTTACTATGGTAAAGAGATCGATGAACAGCAACTCAACAAACAGTGCTGTTTGTTGTTGTCGTCGTCATCGACGTATACAATTACAATGCACTTGTGCGTGACTGAACATTTGTTGTGCGGAACACAGAGTAAAATATGAATGAAGATGACGATGAAGGCACATGCGAAGGCGAAGGTAATGAGTGGGGGTATATCAATTTACATTTTGTGGGAATTCTTTGCAGATATGCATAATATATGCTTATTATTTGTTGTTTTCTTTTTGCTTATGAAGTGTTGATTACACATTTATGTAATTAATTAATATGCGGCTTTTTGTTAAATATAAATTAAAAGTGCATGCGGTTGTTAGTGATAGGAAATGGACACACATGCCAACTTTTTAATGGAATTTTTATTTTAATACATTTCAATCTCATTTTCAAATACTGTGAAGTACTGTAATTTAAAAAAAAACACTACATTTATTATTTACAACTAATAACAAATTATAATACTCACAAATTCCCACATAAAATCATTTTTATATATAACTTTTATAATAGGTAAACAAAAGCTTAATCAGCAGCTCCAACAGTGTTTCGTTTTCACTATGTTCCACTGTTGACATATAACGGCATTACGTTATCAATTGCTAACAAAAGCGATATGCAAAGCATTTTTAATTTAATTATGTTATTGTTCATTTTTATTTATTCAATTGTAAATAAGTTATAAAAAAAACTTAATTGGTGAGAAAATCGAAATAGTTCGCAGTATATTTAAGTTGAAAGTCTACAACAATTAATGGCAATAATATTTGTTATAAATATTCGCATATGGCCGCTGTATATATAATATACGACATACTTTTAATGCGACCGACGTTACATTTAGTTCAAAGCACGCTGTACAACTAAAAATGACAATCCTGCGGTAATAACTTGCGGCTTTGGGCGGAGCAAACGAGCAAACACTTTATGTTTACAGTAAACAACCACAAAGAACTAGATATGAGCGTATGAGAGTATGACCAAAAGAGAAGTCTTTTGTTATGCGAGAGGAAATTTTCCTTTGCTTTTAATCATTTTTAAGATATTAACTGATTTAAATGAAAAACGTTTAATTAATTGAAAAGAATTTGTATTTATCTTAGATTTTATTTATTTAATTTATTTTATTTTATTTTATTTTATGAAAAAATCATATGTTTGAATAATTAGATATTTATCAAAAACTTCGATTAGGATTTAGGATGTGCATAACTCTTAATTCACAAAAATTTGTGTTGCATTACTTAAATTATGTCAAATTAGATAGCATCGCATATAGAGTACCATATTGACCTGGTACTCTTTTGTGCTACCAAATATATATCAAACAGAATTTCTAAAATTTATGTTTAATGTTAGTTTTCTATTAAAACTAAAATTTAAAAGTTAATATATACTTGCATATTCAAAATCTAAATCGTTATTTTGCTAATTCTTTATCAAAGATCTCATTTTATATTGTACAATAGATCAGATGAAAATTTTTTCATAAATATGCAGAATGTGAGAAGACAATTTAAATATTTTCATTTTATTCTAAGTTATGACATTATGCATGGAAGACTTACAAAATGAATATGACGTTATATGATACTGTATGCAGATGTACGGTTTTGTGAAGAACTGACGAATAATGGTACTAATTGGTAATTTGTACCAATTTATTTTTTTAAATCAATTGTAAAATCTAAAAACCTTAACATTCCCATGATATAATTCACTCCAGTTCATATTTATGTTTTTGAAGAGTCGTGATGGTATAAAATCGATTGTAAACTCCAAAAACCTTAACACTCGTGCAATGTATAGGATTGTAGATTACATTTATATTTTTAAACAGTAGTGGTTGCTTGAAATCTTTAAATATTTTTAGTCATAAATATATATTTTTTAATTATAATTATAAGATATTATAACAGTTGTTGATTACAGAAGGTTAGGGTTCTTCTCACGTAGATTGATGACTAAATCTACGTGAGAATGACATGTCCTCAAAAAAGAAAAATAAGTAGGAAATTTAGAAACCACATTTGACTATTTCATTGAAATATTTTAAATAAATTTATTTAAAAAAATCGTGTATTCTTAATTGTCATGAATCGAAAAGACTTTAGGCAAATTAAGAATGCACTGTTGGTCCATAACACTTCGCTTATATATCTACAATGCTACAATGCTTTATTTTGGAGTAGTTATTTTAACTTTTATTAATATGTTAACTTAAAAGTCATTATTTCTTCTTATTATGATAGATTGGGACTCTGCTAAATTGAATTTATTTATAAACAATTTAGAATTTATTAACTATATGAAATGGTATTTTTAAAAATTTCTTTAGGTATCGTCTTAAAACTACTCAATTGAACTAAACACTCGTACTGAGTACTGAATCGCTCTCTTATTCTCATTTACTCAATTACACTCGTCTTTAACATCAGTGATATTTGCAGGGGAAATTCAACTGCTCACTGATTGGTTATTTAATGCCAATATTTTCTATCTTTCACAAATTATTGCATATGTCAAATGCTGCAAAGCCACTTACAAATTTATACGAATTACTTTTTGTTTCTGGTTTGAAAGCAAAAAATGTACCTGTTTCGACGAGGAAAGCTAAAGAATCACAGAATCACAGAAAAACGGCTAACAGCAAACAGCGAACGATGCGTTTACAGTTTTTTGCTCGAAGCCCGTGTCCGAATGGCGTCAGTATAAAAAGCTAAATACAGCCGAGTTCAGCAACCGCAGAATCATAAGCTCCTTCCTTGCAACAATTATTGACGTTGTTACTGTTGTTATTGTTGCTGCTGTTGTGGTTGTTGTTATTGTTGTTGTATTTCGTATTTTTGTATTTTGGTAAGGCAACAGAAGCGAAATGCTGCGGTTTGTGGCAGCTTCTGTTGGGTACATGCGTCCGACTTAATTATGCGTACGACTGCGTGCGATTTCTTCTTTCCTTCATGCGAACATACGATTTCACATTTAATCGCGCATTTATTGGCATTTATATCTTTCACAGTATAATTTAATCCATAAAAACCTACATTATGTATGTGCTTATATATGTGTGTACACATAACACATAACACAAATGCATTGAAATAAATAATGCTTCATTTATTATGCAAACAAATATTATTTTATGAATTTAGTTAATGTTTTCATCATTTAAGCTTAGAGTCATTTCAAGAAATTGAGATTTGTCAGTTTTTACATTGATGATGATGATAATAATGATGTTTTTTGTCTACTTAGATGTCTTGGATATAGAGTCTCAATATACATATGTACACTGAAACATATTTTATACTGTTTAAATATCAAAGAACTATACATAAAAGTATTTAACATTTGGTTCGGAATAATTTCTATTATTGATTTTTCTATTGTGTCTATGGTACAAGTGTTTGAGAACATTATTCTCCTCAGACCTATTATAAGATTCTAGGAGTTCTTCCTTATAAATTATGATTATTCTTCTCAAACTTATTCGATTTAAGGAATTTATTCTCATGAATCAGTGACTAATTTCCTTAAACTTATTCGATTTCAGGAGTTCATCCTCATGAATCAATGGTCATTCTACTTAGACTTATTAGATCTTAGCAGTTCATACTTATAAATTAGCGATTGTTTTCCTCAGCCTTATTCGATTTCAGAAGTTCATCTTCATGAATAAGTGATTATTCTTCTCAGACTTATACGACTTTAGGAGTTCAACCGTAATTATACATGAATCAGTAATTATTATTCTCTGACTTATTAGATTTCAGCAGTTCATTCTCATAAATCAGTGAGGCGTACTCATATTTAGTTCTGATACATAATAGGAACCGAAGAAGAAAAACCAGACGCTTTTTTGCCTGTGCAATTATGTTTTTTGATAGTGTCTTTAAACATTTCAAGAAAAATGTATGTGAAATATGTTTCCATCTTTTGCACTGTATAATACGTCAGATTCCATACCTATACAAAAACTGTTCCTTAGTAATTACTTCTCTGAGGGAGAATGGATATCTATTTCTACTGAAGAGCGTACAAGCATAGTCTGTTTAAGCAACGATACTACTTACTATGTTAAAGACGCTAAACTAAAAGCCATCTTTATCGAATGGACTCAGAGATAGATCAATCCAGTACTTTCTCCAAGGTAGATAGTAGATGAAGTGGAAAGGGTGGTTACAAACAGTGGATAGAAGAATTCTAGGTAGTTCGTTTAATTAATAATATTTGTGGAAGAAATATATATTAAACAGAGAAACAATATTGCATCTTATGAATCTTAATATTGAATTTGAGTAGTCTTTCTGGTAAGTAAGTATCTCCCTGTATTCAAAATGCGAACTCTTGTTTTCTGAACTAAGAAATCATGTCCTGCATTTATTCCATATGGTTAGATAATATAATACATATAAACGTACACTATAGTATACAGATGTAATTTATCAATGTAATTTAGTAAATATAAATCGTGTATCATAACATTTATACCTAAATCCATTATTTGCCTTCTGCATGTAGTATCTTAGTTCACTTGTTTGTTTGACTGAATATTGGATCCGCCCTTTTATGGCAACTCATGCTGATGTTTGCTTTCATCTTAGCACTTAGATTTATGTGCACTTGGAAAGCCCAATTAACTAATTTAAAAATGTGTGAAAATATTTATCTTTTCGCGCCTGTTGAATAAAAAAAATATTATTTGTTTGCCATTTTTATATGCAAAATAAAATGGAAACAATTAGCACGTTTATATCGTAGTGATAAATATGTAAGTCGTATGTAAATGTATTTAAGGTTTGCAGTGATTCCTACGCTAAAAATATAGAATTTTAACCAAGATCTTTAAGACGAGTAGGAGTTACAACTATATTAGTTTAAATTTATTAAGGTGTGCTAGTCTTTTTCCATATTCCATTCAACTAGCACTTGCGTATATAGTAGAAATCGTTTTATTTATGTAGTTCATATATTAATTACTATACAGCGATTCATTATAATTAGTATATATAAATATACATGTATATATAACGTAAAGTATTTTAGTACATTTCACAAATTAATAAAAATTTTTATTAATATTAATAAATAAACGACAACTCAATGAAATCCTAATAAAAATAGTATTATAATTATAATTTAAGTTCATATTACTAACACTGCTAGATTAAATTAAATGCACTCATTTTTACATTGCTATATTTTAGCACTAAAATATTATATGTTTGTAAAAAACTTTAAAAATATAAGGAAATTTTAATAAAATTTAAAATTTCCCATCAATTCTGATTTTCTATTCTTTGTTTTTATTTTTATTAACCTTTCTGGAAAATGGCCATAAATCATGGTTTCTGCTTTTAGAACAATAATAAATGTAAACAATTGTTTACATGAAAATATAAAAATTATTGTCAATTTAAAATAAATAATAAAAATACGAAAATGGTCTGCCAAGTTGCCAATTATAAAACAAAAATATAGCAAAGCGAATATTTTTCCCCACATCATGACAATGGACACAACTCCAGTCTCAGTTCCAACTCCCTTAGCCGAGCTCTTGGCGGCAGCAAACGAAAATTCTCTTCGTTGCAATTCTGTACTGTAAAAACCAAAT